AAAGGTCACATAGCACCCCGGGAAGAGCGCTGGCAGAGTACGCATCAACCTTAGCACAGGTGTGGTGGCGCACGCCTGTAATCTCAGCACTCGGGAGGCTGAGGCAGGAGGATCACGGCAAGTTTGAGGTCTACCTAGGCCACACAGGGAGTACAAGGCCTACCTGCACTACATAGTGAGACCCTGTCTCAAAAAAGAAAACAAAGGCCAGGGATTTAGCTCAGTGGTACCGTGGCACCCGCAAGGTCCTGAGTTCGACCCCTGGTACCAAAAAATACAAATAAATAAAAATAAAAAACTAAAATGGGCCAGGGATGTGGGTCAGTGGTAAACTGCTTGCTTGGCAGGCTCAGGGCTCTGGGTTCAATCCCCAGTACTGAGAGAAAGGAAAAATAAAAAAGTGAAATGCACACCAGATTTCAAAAACTCAGCCCTAAAGAAAAGAGTACAAGTTGAGATAATATTTTGGATAGAGTTAAAGAAAATGTTATTAAAACTAATTTCACCTGTTCTTCAAAAAATATTTTTGTGATATGTCTACTAGAAAAGTCTAATCAACTCAACTGGACGTTGCTGGACTGGGACCTACTTTGATCAGTTCCAGGACCCTTGTGACTCTGCAGACCCTCCTGACAGCCCTACGCTTCCGGCTTTCTAGAAATTTGCCTGATGTGGTAATTAGGACAGAGGGACAGTGCCCTGCAGGGAGACGTGTCCTGATCCTACCTGACTTTCCATCTAACACATGTGAAGGCGCAAATTCCATCTGTAGGTATCTGAGCCCTGAGTCTGCTTGTACTTTATGGAAGCATATTTGAGCATTTAAAGTGATACTGAGTTGGGCATGGTAGTGCAAGCCTGTAATCCCAATAGTCTGGGAGGCTAAGGCAGGAGGATTGCCAAGCGTGAGCCCAGCCTGCGCACTTAGTAAGACCCTATCTCAAAGTTTAAAAAAGTGTGGGGATGTAGCTCAGGGCAAAGGCCCTGGGTTCCATCTCCAGTACCAGCAAAAAAATTGATACTGAATTTTTTGAGAATCAAACACTCCTCTATTTCAGGGGAGAACTATTTGATTCCACTTGTGCCAGATTTACTGACAGGTACCTGGGTCTGCCTAGTCAGTCTGACCTCCCAGGATAATTGTGCCTTAGCATTTTGAAGCAAAATATAAATTATGAATAACATTCCTTTGATCATTGTCTTATAATATAATTTGGGCATTAGAGTGATTTAAAAAAAATATGGGCAGACAGGTTGTTAAACCTGTGTGTTTCACTTTAGGATGAATTGAGGAGAAACCACAAGTATGTACGTGCTCCAAGAAGTGAGGAGGCTTGTGAAGTCCGGACGTGCTGGTTTAGACTTCTCTCTGGCTCCGGCTCCAGCCTCCTAAGCCTGTCCCTCAGCTACTTGTCCCCGGGGTTCAGAGCAGCGGAAAAGGCAGAAAAGTCCAAGGTCCTGGGCCACCTGCTCCCCAGGAACTGAAGACCAGGACAGTAGGTAGCCCGGGCAGGGGCCACCAGCCCGGTCTTCAGAGTCCAGAGGCCACCATCTGTCCTCCTCCACAGGAAGCCCAGCGACCTCACATCCCCAGGGCGGTGCATCGAGGGCCATGGGACTGTAACCCAGAAAAGGGGAGATGAGGGCTGAGGGTCTGGGTAACCAAGGATGGAAAAAAATGAGCGGCTCGAATTCCTGGGTCTGAGGGGGAGGCGGTGCGCATGACCGCAGACTCACCCAGGACTTTGTTCTGGGACGAGGCCATCCACTCACCTGAGCCTGGAGCCCTCCCGGAAGAGCTCATCGTTGGCTTCCCCTCTGCCTCGAGATGGAAGGAGCGCGGCCACCTGCCTGCCCTTGGCCTCCAGGTTGGCCAGGTACAACTGGAGAAAGTCCCAGGCGCC